CTATGATTCTATGATTCTATGATTCTCCTGAAAAGAGGTGAAAAGACTGTATCAAATACCATCACTAACTTTTTAAAGGAATTTACTGTTTCTTCATCAAATCAAGAAATACTGTCACATCTGTCATTACAAACAACTGATTAGGAATTACTTTCTAATCAATTATTGTAGGTAGAATCAGGTTTAGATGTAATTTATCATGCCCTGAAGTATGGGGGTGGAAGAAGGTCCTTCCTCCATATTTTCGAAGATTTAATTGCATTTCTCTTAACACAACATTCATGGTCACAGAGAACAGCTTTAAGACACTGGCAAGGCACGTTGCTATGTTGTTGGCAAGGCACCAGCGACTCCTGTTCTACACATAGTCTGTGCTCTGGTAGAGCTGATTTACTGCTATTGTTACAACTCACTGGTGCAGCTCTTAAAGAGGACATGATTAAGCCAGTACGCAAATATATGCCTTTTTTTTTTCCCCCATGTGACACTATACAGCACTGGGAGAGGCTCATTTTTCAAAGTTGTGTTTCCTGGTATAATGGCATTCACACTGATAGGAACAACAGCTCTGTAACTGTGTTGGCATGGCTAAACCAGCACAATTTAGACACCTGCCTAGAGCCTATCAACTGCAACTAGACACCGTAAGGGTGATCCAATGATGGGTGATTATAGCTATCATCACTTGCCAAAAATGGTGCCTGCATAGGTTTGGTAATCATTCAAAGACTGGTAGATTAAATAGATCATGCAATTTTTACTCCACCAGTTTGGTTGGAGGATCCCTTGTGAAAAAAATACGATGATTTCATTATTTAGTAGTCTCACTCATGAATGCGAACTGTGTGAACCTTTGGACCTACACAGAAGAACTTTCTAGAGGAAATAGTGGTTTTATTGTGAAGGATATACTGCAGCAGTCATGCCTCCCGTGGAAAAAAAAAAGTGACACCCATGTCCTAGTGCTTTTTTACTTTTATTCTTATATCTTCGTCTTTCCGATGTCTGATTTTGGCTTTTTTTTTCCAGACGGATCTGGTCAATACCATTGGTGAAAGTGCAGCTTTGGGAGCAGCTGGAGTTGTTCTCTGGGGCAGTATGCAATATGCCAGCTCAAAGGTAGGTCGCATTGGTTTATTGGTATTTAGGAATCACCTCCATACCTCTTCTCTGCCTCCACACCCTCTGTAGCACCTATCGTTCTTTATCCATGTCACCAGCCAGTGACTGAGGACGATGGCTCCGTGCTACTTGCAGATCTCGTTAGTTCTATACTTTTGTTAGACTGAGAAGTCCAATTGCTTCAGAGCACCTTGCTTTGGTCAGATCACTTGTAGGAGCTTGGAATAATGAGTCCAGGATAGAAGAAAGACAAGTTTTGAAGCAATAACGTACAATTATATGCACAGCTTGTTTTACAGTGTTCTACTTTGTAGCTATGGTCATTTGTACAGATTCACAGAGAAGGAATGGAGTCCAGAGGCGGGTATTTTCTCTGTTCGCTGGTGGGGTTTGTGTTGAAATGACAGATTGGAAATGATGCTCCTACAAGAGAAGGCCTGTTTCTTCCTCCCAGATTCCTCGGGCTTTCACAAATAATCCTTTGTGCAGTGATGGAGGAGGCAGGAGGCCGCACTGGGGTTTTGTGGGAGGCATGGCAGGCTGGCCCCAGCTCCTGAACCTCGGCTGGGCTTTGGTGCCTGCTCTGCTTTTCATACCATCTGCTCTCCTCCCTCTCCTCAAGTCCGTGGCAAAGCACCACTGACACGCGCAGAGGAAGAGGGAAATCTGAACTGGAACATTCTTGCAGCAGTTGCAGTAAATTCTGTGCTGATTTCTGAAAATGATGTGGCTCCTAGTAAATTGAAGGAGTTGTAGAGATCAGGACCAAAGCAGTGGCTAAATATGTGCTTTAAAACCTGTTAGTCCCAGGCACTGCTCCTTGCCAGCAGTTACCAGGAATCCCTACTTAAGGAACTCTTTATGCTCAGATTAGCATATAAACCCTCCTTCTGTTTGCTAGGACTTCTCCCTAGTCTAATACTGTATGTTGCTACCAAGCACACAAATAGACAATACAGTAAAGGTTAATGTTTTGCTGATCTTACCCATGGAAGTAAACTCACTTAAACCAAACAGATCACTTCAGTATGTAAATCCAACAAAATTTATCTCATCAGATTACTTTAGCCAAGAACAGTTTTGTACCTAGTATCTTCTTAGATATAGCAAGTTTGGACATAACGCTAGCTACTGTGTGATCTGTCGTGGCCTTTTATTTTCTACAGGAGAGCTGTTCAACCGTGAAGCAGTACATTGATGGACCCTTAGGACATTACGTCATTAATGTGACCTCAGCAGCCAAACTCTGTAGCAAAGTCCTGTGCAAGAAGAATGGAAGATGTATCCGCAAAAACAGCGACTCTTCTGCTTACCTCCATTTGTCACCCACTGATTTTAAGATCCGAGCCCGTCACTCAGGGAAGGGCCCCAGGTTCCAGGTGACTGGTGAACCCAGCCTGGAGAGTATTGAAGCCATGAGGCAGAGATTTGTGTGTCAGTGTTACCAGGGCTGGACCGGAATATTTTGTGAATTGCCTGACCAAAGGCTAATGGAGCGCTGGGCTCACGTTGTGTTCAGTAGATCAAGAAGACAAAAGCTTTATGTCTTCCTCTTAGGAGCCATACAGCTTCTTCTGCTTCATACTGCTCACTGAAGTCTTCTGAGGCAGTGCAAGGAAATGAGACATGGTGCCACTAAGACTTCTGTTTCTTAGCAAATTTTTACTACAAAGGGAAAAAGCATTGTTGATTAAATAGTTTTATTCTGTTTTCTTCATCTTCCACTCCTGGAATTGATTCAGACTTTAAATGTTTTGAAAGCAGCTCCCTCTTTTTTACCTTCTCCTTTACTTTTAACTCATGTTTTACTCATACCTTCAACAGATAAAGATTCTGCTGAGACAGTGGAAGCTTCACCTGAGTAAAAAAGCTGAATAAACCTTTGCAGTGATTCATCCATGTAGAAGCTTAAGCTCAAATGAATAGGCTTTCTTGCAAAGCCCAGCTACCTGGAAGGTAGGGGAGATGTGTCTTTTTTTTTTTCCTATTTTGTTGATCCTCCCAAAGAATATCATATAGCTACAATCTTGACAACTTATTTCCTTGTAAGTGCACTTCTGACTTTGATGGTAATTTGGATCAAATCAAACTCCAGATGCTACTGTAGTACACATAATAAATAGCAAGTAGAGGAAGCTTTGCAGAGTGCATTTTTCATTACAGCCTGTTTGATATTGTTGTATGTCTTGCCTAATCATTCTGGTGCACATAATTTTATGAAGATTTTTTTTCTGGTCTGCTTATATGGTCCAGTCTTTGGAGAGACATGATCCAATTTCTATCTGTGTTTGAACTATTTGGAGGAGGGAGAATCTGAAGCATCAGAGAACTGTGCTATAACCTTTACAACCTTTATAACCTTACAACCTTTACAACTATACTTTAAGTATAATTGATCCTGGGAGGTGGGCTCTGGTTTCTGGAGATAATAGGAATAAGGGTTTGCTGTGTTTCATCTGAACCACCTCTGCTTCAAGATGAATATGGACTCAGACCCCATATCTTTACTCTTCCCAAATGCTGAGCTGTAGAGTCCTCTTATCCTCTGCTTCTCATTCCAAGGATAAACAATATCAACAGAAGCACGACTGACAGGCTTCCAGCTTTTCTCAAATTTGATGATTTAGCATGCCAAAACTTTGAAATTTTGGGAAATGTTGCATTCACTTCCTTTTTCTCTCTCTCGCCACTGCTGGGTGTTGCACTTAATAAAATGTTGTATGTTCTGAGCAACCCATGAATGTATGGAAAGGCTGGGACTCTTTTTGTTCCACTTCAGTCCAACAGGTAGATATGTGGGGCTGCAGTCCCTGTGTGACCAGCTTTAGGTGCCACCGGGATCTTCCTACTCCAGACCTTTCCTCTCACACTCGTCCTTGTGTCATGGTGTGCTGTCCCCTGCTTGTGCTGGTACAGCAGTTTGGGTGCCCTTGCTCTGGCCTGGATTGGGAAACCATCCCAGTCAAAAGTTCCCTTGTTAAAAAAACAGGTGCTTCCCCCCAGTGCTTTTTTCCTAAAGTCAGATTAATTCCTCTGTCTGACTCACATCGCACTGCTCACACAGCTGAGCCAGGGCTGAGGAAGTGGATAAAACCCATAGGGAAGTGGTAGCAAAGCCATAAGTCGAGTATTGCTGCTCAAGACGATACATCATGAGTCAAAAGCCTCGGTATGTAGTTGGCAGCATTGGTCGGTCACAGCTCACCCAACCCGTACTCCGGGGTCCATGCGGCAGGGGAGAGGCAGCGCCTGGCAGTCTCCATGGGGGACAGCAGGTGGCACATCGTATGAGGGCTACTGCCATGCCAGGGCACCTCCTGGGCTCTCCCAAAGCCAAGAGCTGCTTGCAGTGACCATCCCAGACCTCGACACCTCACCAGATGCCAAAGGCAGGGTAGGTAAATCTTGCCTGGAGTAGCGCAGCTCGTGAACATGAATATTTAACATGTTTTCTCAAGTGCTCTTTTGCCACTGAGTCTTAAATGTGAAAAAAGATGAGAAAGGCTCACTGGCTGAACATAATCATACCGGCATTTTTGTGTTCCATCAACTTTTTCCAAATGCGATATTCTGTGCCAAGCTCAGTGGCTTTGTGAAAATGGAAATGATATCGTTATAGAAAAAAAATTGCTAACAGCCCTCAGAGACAAAATCAACAGAATAAAATCTCAGGCTAGTTTGAATTTGTAACACTGTGCATAAATATGCATGTGTGTGTTGTTTTCTGTTAAAAATTGCTAAAATAAAAAAATGTTTCCTAAATTAAAAATTGCCTCAGTTTTGCAGTGAAAGCATTTGTTGTAGGTAATGAATTAAAATTGCACATCATGAGTAACAAGAAGACACACGAAAGACTTTGCCAAAGAAACTTTGATATGGTTAAGATGCTGTGGCAACCACAGCTTCTTCTTTGTTTACATTTCAGGAAAAGTAATTTCCTGTCAATCTGGGCCAGACTCGAAGAGTGGGAGCATTCGCAAACCCAGGTTACTCTAAAAATAAATCGGGAACGATAGTTCTGTACACTTCGAGGAACAATATCGGCTGGGAACAGCACAACTCAGAGACAGATGTCCAGTCCTTCAGAAAAAACAAGGAAAAACAATGATGTAACATACTGCTTAATGAGATTAAAGCCCCTAATTCGGCAACAGCACCGCGTGCTTTTGGCACACCAAAGCACGCAGCAGTAAGGAGCAGTCAGAGGTCACTTAGAAAAAAGGGGAGAACTACTTCAGTAGATTCTCAAAGTAAGCACGTTTGAGATTTAAGCGCTGCTTTTAATAGTTGTGATGCACTGGTTTATCCCTCATTTAACGACACCGGAGTAATTCCATCTTTTTCTGAGCCAATGAATGTCTTGTTTAAGCTGTAATAAGAAAATGAGGGGATATGTGTGTATGTTCAGCTCTGTTCAGCTCTGGAGTCCCCAGCACAAGAAGGACATGGAGCTGCTGGAGTGGGTCCAGAGGAGGGCCATAAAGATGATCTGACCGCTGGAGCACCTTTGCTATGAAGACAGGCTGAGAGAGTTGGGGCTGTTCAGCCTGGAGAAGAGAAGACTCTGGGGAGACCTTATTGCTGCCTTCCAGGGGGCCTACAGGAAAGCTGGAGAGGGACTTTTTACAAGGGCATGTAGTGATAGGACAAGGGGCAATGGCTTTAAACTGAAAGAGAGGAGATTTAGATTAGATATAAGGAAGAAACTTTTCACTCAGAGGATGGTGAGGCACTGGAACAGGTTGCCCAGAGAAGTTGTAGATGCCCCATCCCTGGAAGCATTCAAGGCCAGGTTGGATGAGGCTTTGGGCAACCTGGTGTAGTGGAGGGTTTCCCTGCCCATGAGGGTGGCTGGAACTAGATGATCTTTAAGGTCTCTTCCAACCCTACCCATTCTATGATTCTATGATTCTATGATACTATGTTAATATGCGTACGTATGCACGTGTGCATGTACATGTGTATATGAATGAGCACACGTGTCTGTACGTTGTAACGCATGGGTCTGGAAGTTCGGCCCAGAAGCAGCAGAACAGCTACAAGGGGCACGAGGCTTTGGTTTCTGCCTGGTGGGAGCAAGCTCGGAGCCAGTTGCGTAACCCTATATCTTGGCACGTACGGCCTCTGCTGCCACGCGGATTATGTCTGTTATGTAACCGCGTTTATGCAGGAAATTAACAGCATCGACAAGCTAAAAATAAGCAGGCTGCTATAATTTCAAAGGACAATATTTTAAACTTCGTTCATGCTGCTGCTCCTATTTCAACAATAAACGTGGCTCTTTAGACATTTTATATATTTTTTGACTAGGATGATATTTTAACATGCTGGCAGCCAGTGTTCTCAGAGAGAGTCAGAGCTCCTTTCTCATTTTTCCATTACAGCAAGAACCCTCCTGGCTTTAATTTAAAGTGCTTTCTGATATCTATGAGAAGCAAAGCAGCCCAGAGTATCAGTCCTGCTTTTCCTCCTCAGACAGCCAAGCAGTCTGACGTTTGTGGGCAGCTTCTGGAAAAATGATGTTTGTTTCCATGCTAGTAATAACCTTCTCAGCCAATTAGACAGCAGATTATGAAGAACATTTTTTATATTACTCTTTCAGATGTTAGGTTTCCAGGGCAGAACAAGAAGTATTTAGTTTTTCCCCTTACTGAAGTGGCTCCTTACCTTGACTTTGTATCCGCTCGCCCTATGTGCTGTGGAAGCCCCATGGGACTGTCACCTCACTCTTCAATGGCATTTTGGGCAGTGGGTCTTGTATGCAGAGGACAGCTGGCGTTCAGCTTGTGTAGTTATCCCTGCCCATCCCGTTCGGATGCTCGTAGAGTGGAAGTGAGCATCTTAACGCTATGCACAAGGCTCCTGATGGGGATGCTCAAACAGGCTCACGCCAGGTATCGCCTCCATTGCGCTGGGCTGCCTTGGCTCTGGGGGCATGGGAAGGACCTGAGGCGCTGGTGGGGGCTGTTCGCTACACGGGAGAGCACAGGCCCCAGCGGTGATGCTGATCTTCCTCCTGGTCCTCCTTACCCTCAGAGGCTGCACTGGGAGCTGTGGGGAAGCATTGACCCTTGGTGAGATGGAAGCTGGCAGGGCCAGGGCATGACTCTGCGGCTCTATTGAAGGTGCTTCTTTGAGCTTGGTGAAGCCGAGTCATGCACAAAGATCCTGCAAAGTCCTTGAGTGCCTACAACGGTAAGTAGTACTGATTTTGTGGGGTTAATTAGCACAAGCATGAAGTTGAGCCCTTTGGAAACTTTGGCTTGCTCCACAGACAAGTACTCTTTTCTTCAGTCTCGGCATCAAGCTTTGTTTTGTGGAACTTGGACAAATAACAATTCTACTAAATCTACATGTAGGGAGGAACAAGACAAGCTCTCCCTGGGCCTCTGCAGGAGTTCAGGTACTGCTGCACCTTCATTTGGAAGGGACAGTGATGTGTAAACACAGTTGCTGCATTCATATCTCAGCAGCAAGACTCAGGTCTGACTATACCTGGATTAAAACCCAATAATAAACTGACCTGACTGCAGTGAAGATGTGAATGTGAGTGGCAGAGTTACCTCACTTTTGACAGGAAGGACTTGATTTGTCATTTTCCAGAATGCAATCTACTATTTTAATTCTGTTGTGATTTCTCCTCTCTTAAAGGGGCACAGCCTTATCTGATGTAAGATGGCGTATCTTTATTGATTTGCAGTAGCTGAAAACCAAGCATGAAATATTCATATTTGCTTTGTTCACCCTTGGATTTTTCCTTTTAGGTTGGCATTTGTCCATTAGTTCCCAGCACCCACCAGCTGCTGCAAGGACAGTCAGCAGCAGTTCCTCAAATTATCCCCCCTGTGCTCCCAGGGAAACAGTGGGTCATGCAGCGGCTAGTGAGAGCTTGATGGAGAGGCTGCGGATGGAGAGGCTGTGCTGGGGCATGGCTGCTGAGTGAGGCTCATTAGGTTTGTCCGAAGTCTCTGTCCATACATGAGGCTTACCGAGGTTTACATGACTCCTGGCTGAAAATAACTGCAATAATCCCTTAGACTGACAACACTGAATTGTTGTATTTCCTCCAACAATAACATTTAGTTCTAATGTAATACTCAGCTGGTGGGGAGGGCGAAATAAAATGCTTGTTGTTGTTGTTGTTGTGTTACAGCTATTCTGTAGGAGTGGGAAGAAAGGAATGTCACCCGAATCTGCTGGTGCTGGGTGCGAGCTGTAATCGCTCCTGTGCGCGTGTGGGTGTTTGTTCTGCGCAGTCTGGGGACACGATCTTATCCTAGTGCAAATGCGAAGTAACTCTGCTGGACTCCCAGGAAAGTTAGTGGGAGGAAAGGCAACTCCTTCCTATTGTGCAAGACTAACCTTTTGTCTAATTTCTGTGAGAAGAATATGCTCAGAACATCAAGCATCCTTTATTTAGTTCTGGTAGGATTTATCATACGAGTGAATCAGGCAAATAGAGAGGAAAGTTATTTCTTAAAAGAATCCATTCAACATAATTTAAAATGCTATAAGGAAGAAGAGTAAGAGCACAAATCTGTTTATATTTGCTATCTGTAACCTCACAAATGTAGGAAAAAGAGGATGGTAATGACGTGTCACGAAGCCCATATCTGGTCCATGCTGCGTGGACACACCATGTGCTCAGGGGCTCCCTGGAGAGGGAGAGCCCAAGCAGTTCTGATGCCTTAGAATGGGTTCCAACTTTTTCCTAACACAGCCTGAAGTCAGGTTTCTGGCTACGCTGTGTTGTGGTCCTCTAAGCACATCTCCGAAATGCAGTTCTTCACGGGTGGGATATTTTGAACTACAGGTAAATGAGCAGTGTGGCAGGAAACTTGGGCATCCTGGCAGTCAGTTTAAGCCCACTCCTGAACATAGTCTTCATGTCTTAGGGCTGACGTACCCTCAAAAAATGTGAATCTTCATGCTTTGCCTGTGGTGTAATCCATATAATCTTCTAATATGCTGTCACGTGAAGACAATGTGGCAGCAATAAAGACCACTCAGGTTATTTCAGGATTCAGGCCATTATACTCATCCTATAGTACAAGCATTCAAAATATAGCTCTCAGTGCAAAGGTTACTCTCCTGGAAAAGGAGGATTACTGGAAAACCTTTGGACTTAAAACAGGGGGAGAAACTGTGGTATGGAGCACTGAGAACCTTGCCAGGCTGGACACAGGCCAAAAAAGCTTTGTGATTATTTCAGTGTGTGCCAGAAAATGACCCAGTCGCTGGCATCAAGAGCATGAGGGAAGTACAAGCTAAGCACAAAGACTGATTTTATGGATGTTTCAGTGGGCCATTAAATCAATCCATCAAACCATCTGCCTTTTTGCTGCTTCTGAGTCTAATCGCCCAGGCTGGACAACCGTCAGCTGTAATAGCCTACAGATGAGAGACATCTACACAGCATGAAGTGGAGGAAAAGTAACTAGCACAAGGACATTTGATCAATATTCCTCATTTTCCATATTCAGGAGTCCAGCTTTCTAGTAGGCCACCAGAATGCAAGTGTTCTCAGGTGCATAATAAGAAAGGTCCACTACGGTGGCAAAACGAGCTGGGTTGATAGAGGCCAGATGACTGTCCTGATGAGCCCCACACAGATTTGTAGCTCATCTGCTAAAATCTGCCCTCCTCTGTCCAGCAGTCCCAATTTTTCATCATAATATGTTAAACTTTACTACAAAATTGCTATGAGTACCTGCCTTCCAACCTGCCATACATGTGTTAGAATGCTGAATTACAGCTTTTGATGCTTTATTCACCGTATTCCTTACAGATGCTACGGGAAATGGCTCTGCTGCAACAGATTCATACTGAAATTTGTAGCATTTTGAGGGTGCCCTGCCCTAAATTTGAAACACTATAAAATGACCCTTGGCAGCTCATGCTGCTCAGGATTCCCAGCACCTTCGTGGAGATCAGTGAAGCACCGTACTGAAGGGGTTTGAATATCAACTATAATAAGACATCACTGTCACTGGGTTGGTCGGATAATGGTGAGGTGAGGTCCTGCATCATTTTTATTATTCATTATGCTGCATATTCAGTTCTCTGCATTTACTAACATAACAGAGATCCTTTGCAAAACGTCTTCGAGGCAGATGACTAAAGGATGCCCTGGTCTAATGAATCCCCTTCCATAGGAGGGAAGGTAGAGGAGAGCAGCAATGCATCTTTCCATACTGTCCTCCCTGAGGCTGCTGCCAGCTCTGAAGCTCTCAGGGTCATCTCTGTCACCAGCCTCTGAGCATGTTGCTTCCAAATCCAGATCCGGCACAGAGAGCTAGATTTGTTGCTGACGGCATGACTTCAGCTGGACAAAACTTCTTCCAGTCCATCAGACTTCTGAGTGCATCAGCTCTAGCTTTGCTGATAAAAAGTCAACAAAAGGATTATTCTGTAAAAGTCCAGGGATTTTATTGGATCTCTGTGGGTGTGAAAATTCTTGTTTCCAAAACCACGTACGTCTTTGATAAGGGTATTTGGCGATCGGCTTGCCTGTTGAGACAGCCTATTCTAAGCCCATCAAGGTTGTGCTGCGTCAATGTCATATTGTTGTAACAATGTTAACCATAAAGGAGAAAAGATCGTTTTCTTTGTTCATCATTTGCAATTTTCCTAATCCCTTGATATGAATAGTGTAACGTCACTGGAGGAGGATTTTTGTTACAAGATAAATGCCAAAGCTTGAAAGTACATTCCTCAGCTTTAGATTAATTGTGAGAGAGGGATACAGGGTTTTTATCATCTGATGAATGCTTGGTCTTTTTCTTATCATTTAGCCAGCTATATTTTTTCAGCAGTGGGCTGTGATCTAGTTCAAGCACTCTCTATGTCTATTCTGTTCAGAACTGCCTGTTTTAAGCTGATTTTGCTTAGTCTTAGCTAAGGCTGTTTGCTGTCTAATAGAGATGTACGGTTTCTAGTTTCTCTCTGCTGGGAATTACTGCCCACTGTGAATTTTCAGTCAGCTGGACAAGATGGGCTGCCTTCGTGTTGCCTTGGTTTGCAGAGCAAAATATAACTAGCAGAAGGGGTATAACTGGATATATTCATTCCAGGTTTTGTCAACTATTGACAGATACAAATGGAAGAAATGCCTAGCGAAAAGAGGAGGAGAACTTTTTAGTGTGTTGTAATCCTGGTTGACTAAAAGCAAATTTGAAAAGCCTGGATAAAGGGAAAAATATTGAGCAGAGCTTGGGTAAAGGACATCCTTTCCGCATGCTGCAAACAAGTGACTTCAGAGCCTGCTCCCAGCTGGAGCATGTGTGTGCTGATGTGATGGCTAAATAATAAAATAAATAAACATATTTTATTTAATAAAATAAAATCAGAAGTCAGTAAATCTCAGTGATTTGCCCTTACATGGAATATAAAATGGTAACTGTTTCCTCCTAAATAATAAAGTGACTACAAATATCTTTCTGTGTTAAGTCCCCCGTGACAAGTTTTTCTCAGGGGACGGGGTGATCTGCCACTTCCCTGCAGTCTTCAATAACCTATAGTGATATTGTTCTTGTTCTTGTTGCTATTTTTTTTTTTCAGCTTGCTGATACGGCCTTTCCCATGTGTCAGCTCAGAGAGCCTTGGGGCAGCAAATCGGTACATCCAGCACGCAGGAAAGCGCACGCTGCTGGGGCGTTATGCCAAACGACACAGATCTTGCGTGGAAAGTGCTCCCTGAGACCTGGGGCAGAACACCTGAGGGATGAGCCCAGCCCAGCTAATGACACCTCCCTGTCCAGACTGTGACAGGTGCAGGAGCAGAGAGGCAGGATGGTGGTACAGCTCTCACAGGGTGAACTCGACATCCTGCAATTTAAAAAAAAAAAAAAATAAATTGTAGGGATTTGCTGCCCTCTGGCAGGACTTTCTTACAACTCTGCTTCTCTGTGAACTGCGAGAGCCGTGCTCAGCAACGATGCTCCAGCACAGCAAGACCCCTGTATTTCTCAGCTGGTTTTAGGCAAAGCAGAGCAAATCACTGGGCACCCCTGGCCTCCCTGCAACCCTCCTGGAAAGCCCATGCTGATCCCAGGCAGAGGCTGGTGTAAGAGGCAGAGCTGCTGGGCAAGCAGGAGTCCCCCATCCTTTCTCTCCATCCCTCTCCAGGAGAAGGGGCGCCAAGCCTGGCTCGCTAAAGCTGGTGCTTTGGTCGATTGTCTCCTCACAAGAGCAAGCTCGCCATCTTCTAGCTTCAGCTGTTCATGCTTCTAGCAAGAAAATTCAGTTTGGCCTCTAATGCTGACAAGCCTCGAGCAGCTTTGTTGAGTTAGATTTATTGGTATGGTATACTCTTTCTGAGAGATATGCAGCAAATCGGGCTAATTTCCATTAACAGCGTCTTCCAAAATGCCCATTAACGCCAATATGGCACTTGTGAATATGTGGACAGCGGCTTTGAAGACCTGGGCTTCCTCTTCACTAAACGCAAAGTATTGTGAGTCTCACAGGGTGATACTTCTCTGAGGAAACATTGAGTTCTGTAGTGTCTACACTGTACCGCACTGGTCCTGGGGACTGCCTGCCTGCCTGGTCAGCAGGAGGAACAGGCACATCTTGGACACTTCAGAGCACTCTGGTGTCTCACACTGTCAGACAACTGTATCCTAAAAGCATCCGTGGTTTATTAAAAGCACCTAGGTTGGCTACTTTGGATGTTGATATTTTTGCTGCATGTACCTGAAATCAGGTCATGCTAGTCCTACCCTAAAATAGCGAAGAAATGGGGCAGTCGAGAGGCCCAGAAAAGTACCCCAGGTACATAGCTATGACTGATTGTTTTTCTCTTTTGAGAGAATGGAAGGATAACATAGATGAGATATTTCCATTAGTATATGTAACAAACTGGCTGCCAAAATGAAACCCATGATCCTCATCTCCAGCAGGTCACAATCCCAGGAGAGATAACCAGGTAGGCAAGGACTGAGGAAGAAGAACAAGTAGGACTCATATACAAATCCATGATCATCCCTAATGTCTGATTGTACAGCTATATGGGATTTCCCCAGGGTTTTGGATGCGGGGGGGAGCCTGGAGTTGGAAGGTCGATAAGACTCTCTCTCTTACATGTAAGGTAAATATATAGGTTTTGCTGTACATCTGGTTTCTTTTCTGCTTAATACGCACAATCAGCAGGGACCTTGTGACTAATGATTCTGCTAGTAGCACTGATCACGGGCCTTAGCATCAAAATCCATATTGCACAATGCAGTGCTATGCAGAGCTATGGGAGCTGATCTGGAAGGCACTTGCTCCATGTGATAGTGCAGTCAGGCTAATAAATAGCTCAGGGTAAGCGTTCTTGGATCTGCTTTATTGCTGTCAGGGGCTTGAACTTGTATCCCTTTATGGTACTGCACAATGACAGTGAAATATGTGTGCCTGTTTAGAGCTATTTGGAGTATATCTGGCTGACACTGTACTAGACAGGTCAGGGATGTTCATGAAGCTGTGAAGATGGTGATAGAAGTCAAGGTTTGATTTTATAATTACCTTTGTTATTATTGAGAGAACTTGAGGAATAAGGAAGCCATTTCTTCATCAACCTTACCAAATGCAATAGCCACTAAGACACCCTGAGGCCCACTGAAGTGATGGCAACATCCTTGGTGATTTCAGTAAGACCTGGACTGATGAGACAAGCAACTGTGGTTACGCTGGCTTCCACAGACTCACACTGATTTACTTCAGCTGGGAATCTGCCCCTTTCTTTAGATTAGCTTGCGCCCACTTTGTTTCTTTAGCGTTAGCATAGTAGATACCTTAGAACTCGCTGGTATTCATATAGCTATATATGGAAAAAGTACTCATGCCTTTTCTGTTATGTCCTACAGACAAACTGGGAGATCCGCCAAATGCTGTCTCTTGAGTGGTGAAAATGGGACGATATAATACATCATTCACCTTTCAGCCCCTGACACAGCTGTGGATAGCACTCACCTGGACTTTCCTTGCTATGAAACCAGCCCTACCACCAGTTTGGGAAAGGAAGCTTTTCACAGCTGCCTGGAATGACCTACAGACCTGAGGTATGATGTTGTACTGAACTTGAAAATGTTCCATATAATTGGAAGCCCGTTAGCTAAAGCAAGAGGGCAGAACATGACCGTTTTTTTTTTTTAATAGGCTTGGCTATTATCCTTGGTACACATCACAGGAAGTCCCTGTTAGTGGTGGCCTGCCCCAGAACTTTGGTTTGCAAACTCATCTGGAAAAAGCCGGTCGTGACATTAACTATTACATTCCAGCTAAGGACTTCAGTGGGTTAGTTGTCATACACTGGGAGCACTGGAGACCTCAGAGGCCTGCAACTGGAATGCAAAAGACGTCTACAGAAGAAATTCCAGGAAAATCCTAACTGAGATGGAAGGGAATATTTCAGCAAGTGATATTGAAATTTAGCCAGACTTTCCTTTGAAGAAAAGTGCAAAAGCTTCTGTGAAGGAAACAATTGCATTAGGAATGAAAAGCAGACCAAAGGGCCTGTGGGAATGCTATTTATACCCTGACTGTCACCATTACAATTTCCATGATCAGAACTACACTGGTTCCTGCCCAGAGTGAAGTTCTGAGGAACAATGAACTTTCCTGGCTCTGGGATAGCAGTGCAGCCCTGTATCCTTCCATAGGCATTAAAAAATTCTTTGGAAACAGTCAAAACATTTTGCACTTTTCTCAGTTTAGGGTGAATGAATCCATAAAGATTTCCTCTATGACATCCCAAGATTATGCTTTGCCCATATTTGCATATACTTGACTAGGTTATAGAGATGAACATTAATTAATTTGTCTCTATGGTAAGCTTTTGCTGGAACAATGTGGGCTACATTTATGCTTTAACCGTTCTTGCAGATGGTGCATCAGGATGGAAAACCTCCTACATGGGCCAGCTCTGCTGGTTCCCATTAATTGTCCTCATGCTTTAAAGAGCTCAATGTTCTGAATAAAAATTGCAGCCTCGAATACCTTTTTTTTTTTATTTAGTTCATCACTGTCCTCAAAAGTGCATTTGAATGGAATAGAAGGATTTCAGCAATTTTATGTAGTATGTAGGAGGCGGTTATTACATTAATCCTGCCTGATATACTTTCTTCTGCTCAGGTATGCAATCATCAACTAATCCATAGATAGCTGCCCCTTTTCTAGATGGGAAACTGAGGCAGAGATGTTAGTAATTTGCTCAGTGTTACATCAAAATGGGAAATTGAAGCCAGCAGTCTCTCTGCATGCTTCCATCTCAAAAACATTTAATTTAGTCCCATATCTACCTCAGAGCAGGCAAACAGTGCACCAGAACCAAAGAGTTCTGGTCACATCAGCTGAATACACACACACACAAGTCTTTTCAAGATAAGTGCCTTACCCTAGTCCTTCTTTATATGATTCTGGACATCCTCCCAGAAACTGGATGAAGACAGTAGGTTTCCTGTGGAAAAGCAGCATAACCTATCTGTCACAGTCCTGGCTTTGTTCACCTCTGTAGACAGTGATGGTACTACCAGTAGGCATCAGTTTCTGTGTTTTAGAGTTTAACAAGTGAGCTTTATTCACTTTTTGAAGGCTTTGTCGAATCTTTCAGCCCAGGTACAGAGTCTGAAGCTGACAGCATATCTGGAAAGGAGCATTAGCTCCCTTTCCTATTAGGTCCCACAACTCCCCTAGCACTGCCACCACCCACTGTACTTCCCAGTAAGGGGCTGCGCTTCTTTCTGACTTGAAAACCAGTGCCTACTCTGAGGCATTAAAGGAGGTGTAGGCACCTGCTTTGGTGGTTTTATCCAGCTTGCCCTTCCTTAGTTTTGCAAGAAGAGAACAGATGGACATCAATAACTGCTGCAGGCTGGTGCGCATCCCCTTTGCCATTTTATGCCCAGTTTCCGCCTCTTTTCCCCCTTAGGCAACCCATTCCTGTGAAGTTTTTCTGCTTTGATTCTTGATGTGCCATGGCCCTCAATCTCCCTCAAATCGATGATGATGTCTAGGGAGTCACTTGCATATCAATGGTCTTTCATCTTTAGTGCTTGTGGCATAGTAATTCACTTGTTGCTGATCCTTAATCGCTGTTCAGATTAAGGGTAAACATCCAAGCACCGAATACCCTCTCCTTACAGACCCTGACTCGAGGAAAAGATACTGTGAAAGACATCTCTCTGAAACAAACATAGAAAGAGCACAAAAAATGAAACTGAAATTCTCAAGACTTGCCAAGTGTTGTGTTTTCTCCTGCATTTAAGGTTGCACAACGCCAGCATTTTCCCTCCTATAGTGTGTGTCTATTTATGGACACTTTTTCTAAGGTTTTTACAAGAAGCTGAGAGAGCTCCTAGGGAAAGCAGCAAGAACAATGCATGCCTTTGGAATCACAGCTTTTAGATTGGAGAGGGGCTGGAAAACAGCTAATTGACACAGCAGAATGGCTCTCTCCTTCCCCTTATCAGCAAAAACAGAGGGAATGCTTTCGGGAATTCTCATGTTAAAAAATAGCACTTTAATGAAAATATTTTAGTTGGTTTAGTAATTAATGAGATATCAAATAGTTACAAATAAATTTTGCATCAATGTGAATTAAAATGCCTTCTTTTTCTCATGTTTTTTCACTTGCTTATTACCAACATCCTAAGTTTCCAAGGACCAACTTATATTTAATAATCTTTGCACTCCAGACAGCAAACTTTGAGCCACAATAAAAAGTAAGTTCATAGGGACCAGAATGAAAAGAAAATGTGGTCCAAAGGACAGCCACATAGCAAAGCACTGGGCTGCTTTAGAAGAGCTGTGAGATGCTGAATGAATTAGCCTGACAGTGATGTCTTTACTCTTTTCACTGTAGCAAGATCTTATTAACACTATTGGAGAGAGTGCTGCCCTGGGAGCTGCAGGTATTGTTATTTGCGGAGATATGAATTTAACCTCTTCAGAAGTCAGCCTGTGCCTTATTTAAATGCAATAAGATCCTTATTTTATCCTATTAGTAGACACTGTCCTACTGCACCAGTTCTGAGTACTTGGTACCAGCAGAGCTGACTGCTTAACCAGTCTTTGCTGTCCCCTGGTCAGGATGAGCATGGAACATGGTCAGTTCTTCCTGGATCAACATTTTGTGAGGCCTACAGGCAAACAGTGGTAGGAAGAAAGCCAATGGCTAATACCAGGCATTCTGGAAGACAGTTCCTCAATATTTACCATCCTGTTTGGATGTCTTTCCAGCTGGATAAAACACCAGGAAATAAGCTAGAGCCTGATTAGCACATCAGTCAGAGCAGATTATGTATACTAGTGGTGCCCAGCAATTTGTCTTGTTATGGGAACTCTATTTGTGCCTGTGTGTGAGCAAGTAAAGTGAAGCAGGTGGTTGAGATCAGATGGAGAGGCTTTGTATTAAGTGGTATCAGACTTAGCCACTTTAAAATCAAAGATGGATGCTTTCAGACAGCCACACATCAAACTTTGTCATGAGAAAAGACTTTGTCCTTAAAGCTGTGTGAAAGGGGTGTTCTGGGCTGCTTTTCTCCTGGCAGGTAGTATAGAAAACCCAGCCAGCATGAGAATGACTGGCTGAAAATAAGTGTTCAGTTGTCCTCAGCAAATTTGATTACTTCAGCCAATTTTTGTAAATATTCAACTGTGGTTTCTGTCAGATTCAATGTGAATAGGAGGGTGAACTTCCTTCTAACTTGGTCAAGTGACAAAGGCAAGCCCCTGGAGCATCTCCATCAGCTCCGAACTCCCACACTCTCGTGAAACAGCCATGCTGTCATCACCCATGCTCCTAGTATACACCATAGCTTCTTCGTAGATCTATAGACTGAGGTGGTTTTTGGGGAGTGAAAGTTGTTAAAGCACTTTGCACATCAATTGGGTTATATTTTCTGTATAAAACTTCCTAATAATCCTTTAAATGAGTCAAAATTAAGTTACCCTGAATGAATTCATTAATGCAGGCTGCTTATATTTTGCATATTTTTCAGAATGTAAAAGGAAAAAACAGAGTGATTAGTTTCACATAAGATAAAATTTCTTTTCTGCCATTTACAGAGCAACTGCACAGAAGTGCAAAGATTTGTTGATTCTGAACTAGGGCCTTACGTTACCAATGTCACAGCAGCAGCTGAGGTGAACAGTAAGCATCTTTGTCAGGACAATGGATGTTGTGTGCAAAAAACCTGGAGAGCCCTGACATATCAACATTTGAATTCTAAGAGCTTCCAGATAGATGTCTCAGAGGACCAAGGATTTATTGTGAGAGGAGAAGCATCAAATGAAGACCTGGAAATAACGGCAGAGACATTTGCTTGCCAATGTTTTCAGGGTTATGAAGAAACTGACTGGGGGAAGGTAAAGTTGCTGGTGACCATCCAAGGAGCTCTGCAGACTCTGTCTCACCCAGAAGATTTGCATGATCTGCCTGCTTCCTTTGCCTTTGATGAGTCTTTTCTAACTACTGCTTAGTCGAAGGGCTGGTTTCAGTCAGGCCAGAGGGATGGTAAAGTGGATCCAACAAAAATGTCTCACATGTTCTGCAGCTGAGGACTAAACCTGTCATGGTCCAAGACGTAATCCAAACCCTGCAGCTGTGCCCTGAGGTTTAACGCCCATAAGGCATGGAAAGACCTTGAAGAGTCAAAAATGCACAGGTCATTGGAATATGTCTGGCCATTGATGCCATCTTCTGATACTAGGTTGTTTAGGAGGCTAGAATTCAGGTTTCTGCCCAGCTGACAGCCACAACCAAGACAGCAGAAGCCTACTACTACTAAAAAAAACAGCATGAGGTTTACTTCTCCCTGTGTCTATCTGTACCTATCTCTTACTGGGTGACATACTGGATAGAGCATCTTCCCAGAAAATGAAAGATAAGGGGAGGTTTCTAGTTTCTTTTCCATCTGAATGAATTCAAGCCCATGTTTTCCACTTTCATGTCCCGTGTGATGGAGGTATTCATGCTTTGAGCTTTCCACTAGGTAGAAAGGAATGAAAGAGTCAGGAAGAAAAAGGACAAGCCACACTCTGTTGATTAGTGTGTTTACTAAGAAAGGAATGTAAATATCCTATTCCAACAACAAAGGGTCTCCCTGTCAGTTTTTTATGGCATTACTATTTAAAATAAAATCAGTAAGTAGTTCTGGGAACACGAACTCCATCTCAGCCAGGTCTGCTTTCATCCTGATCTGTGACAATACTCTGATGACTCATAAATTTAAAGCTAATGAAAGTGCTCTATGGCTATTATAGAGATGCAATCAACAAGGATCAGGCAAGTTTATCAACTTTGACAAGAAACTTACTTATGTTCCAACGGCCATTGTGAGACCCATCCTCTGGAGGGGGTGGAAAGACTCCCAGGGCTCTCCTTCCAGTCAGCTGGGAGAAGAATGCTCTTCTAGACATAACTAGAAAGAAAACTTAGTGTGTCTCCAGGGCACTCTGTGAACCTCCAGCTTCTCAGCTTTCCATCTTCCCAGAGGTTAAGTATTCATCAAAGAGAATTTACTTGAACGAAACAGTTACAAACTAGTTATTGATAATATACCTGCATGCATATAATATATGTGTGAAATAATTGTGTCTTTGTATTAGAATCTCTGTAGCTGGGGGAAGAACAGACAAATAGCCATAAGACAAATACGGCTTATGAGACTTATGCTGAGCTCCCTGCTTTTTTCTATTTGACCCAGGTAAATGTGAAACATACCATCCAGCCCCCACTGGCTTCTGTTATTCCCTTTGTCCCAGAAACTTAAAGATCTCATTAGGCTTAGACTTTTATGATTTTGCACCTCTTAGCAGCTTGTCGTTCTTCAAACATATGCTATTATCCTCATATCTAACCTCAGTGAGTTACTGCCATAATAACTGTGTTAAACAAATGATTGTAAGATGAACAAGCACTGTTAATAAAGCTCTTGAAGGCAAGTGAGAAAAACTTTCATTATTTTTTTTGACAGAACTCCATTGTAGAAAGAAATATTTTAAATTCTGTTTAAGTTAGAGGAGACTGTGACTAAAACACAGCCAATCAATAAGAAATAAATTGAATTTAGAATGATCCTTCTTTAAAGGAAAAAATATAAAAGAAATTCAGGCTATTTCTTTCAAAAAATAAATCAAGGAGATCTACTAAAAATTCTCTAAAGTATATTTTTATAGTGAAGAAAACTAAAGATGTCCTGGTTTGGTTTAAATTTTTTTTTCGATGGAATGGCTGTCTCAGAAAAATGCAGTTCGTTAAAATCAAAGTGCTGATTGTGGTGAATTTTTCAAGAGAAAGGTGTAAAAATGATTCATCTGACATTCTGCTTGTGCTGTAGCACTGAAGCACACACTATTAGGAAACAAAATGTCTCTTAAAGTTTTTTTAGCAGCATAGGATGACATGTTAGTTTTGACTCTTGTTGCTGTCATCGTTGAGGTCACATCTTACTGCTCGTAGTAACTAAACAAGAATGAAAACCAGTGTTTTATGCAATCATATCTCAAACTCTTCTGCAAATGTGTTCAATTAGCAACTGCCTATAATACATTAACACCTTTTATATAAATGTTATGATATTCCTTGGAATCCAAACATAGATCCAGGTACTCAGGCCCAGATTTCTCTCACCCAATATCTATCAAAAAGTGGGGCAACTAAACTAGAATCTAACCCATTTGGAGGGGGAAGGCACCTCTGAGGAGCACTTCAGGCCCAGTGGGGTTTAGCTGGTTTTGAGGTGAGTAGCACTTGGGCAGTCGCTGTTGGAGATTGCAGTTTCGGTCAGTATATATCCCGTATATATCAGTATATATCCCACCTCAGTATCCCTCCAGGCATGTAAGTCTTGGTTTGGATCTGGGCCATGTTTCCTCTGTAGGCAGAGGTACAACAGCTTTTTATCAAAGCACAAAATAGCTCTGTCATATTGCTTCCTTCCACTGAGACACAGATGTCTGGCGTTTTTTTTGCAGTGACTCATTTTTTCAAGAGCTCTCCTGCTATCCTACATTAGAAGAAAGACCTCAAAATCCAGATTGCACTGAGAATTGTAATTCTTAATTATTAAACAACAAAACATGGGCCAGTACAGTGAAACTGGGCTTTCAGATATTTCAGAAGTATCTATCAAGTTTCAATCTCTCTCTGGTTTTGGCAGGCCAGATAATTTTGTGAGGTTAAAGAAGCTGAGATCTGCAGTGTGCCAGTGATGACCTGCAGGATGCTACACTGATAATTCCCAAACCACAGCAGGTTACCCCCCACAGCAGAGTACCCCACACGCAGAGTCCGTTCTCACGGGGAAAGCTGGACCAGGTGCTCTTTCTGACTGAGATTCAGGCTGTGTGAGACCACGTATCAGCTGCACCTCTAAGATCAAACCAATCCTCTTCTCCTGTGAAAAGCATTTCTGATTTCCAGTTTTATAATTTTGGGGATTTCTATTTTCTTCACTTTGTGTTTCCTGTTGACTATGTTTCATGATCCTCAACTGATGCCCTGGTATTTGCAAACTTTTCCCAGGATCTAACTGTCATAGAGCATCTTATAAAGAATCAAATTGCTGAAACTTCAGACTGTGAGTTCCTCTCTGGTGTCTATACCAGATTTAGGCATGCCAAAACTGAGTGCTATGGTGACTGAATGGTTTTATGCATTTCAGAAGGAGTTAGGCACCTAAACAGGCTTGAGAATCCACACCTGGGCTCTCGGCAGCTGCATGGCTAAAACTGTCACACTTGGTATGTAGAACCTAATGAAGCATGTCATAATAAAACTGATGGCAAAAAAAAATTATTCTAGCTGTAGACTTTTTCCCTGCAAAGGATTATCAATTTATGTTATTATAGCTACTAAATGGTAGTGATAACTAATCTCTGTAAATTCATGAGAATGGATGCTTTTAAGTATAATAAACACACTTTCTCTTATTATAGTACAAATCGTCATTCTTCCTTTCATGGTTTGTGAAGCTAAACATTTCTTAGTAATATCATGTGAAATTAATAATATATGAAACTAAAAATCAGAAGACAGATGATAAGCACAGGAATGTTTCAGTCTGCTTTTGATGGTCTGACCCAAAGCCATATGAAGCCAATGATAAGTTTCCCTTTCAACAGGCTTTGCATCCAGCTGGGATGCTTCTCAGGGAATTACACCAAAGGGTCCTGAGACCTTGATGGGTGCCTCTTCCATGCTAGAACATTCCTAAAACAGACGAGAAGGCACGCATTACAAGGAAAAACAAGGTTGGAAGAAGCTTGTGAAGGTATCTAAATGCAAAAGATATCTAAAAAGCATTTAAAAGAACTTACTATCTAAGTTGTTAAAGATTTCAATAAGCTACTAAACGTTTAGATAACCAATAAATATCCTATGTGATTTGGTATTTAACAATATTTATTGGTATAAGATACAAGAATAACCGTAAAAGTTCTTTCACCTAGTCAAAAGCTCAACAGTCAGCTAAAAATCTGCATGCATCTCACTAACAATTGAAACCATGTACAATTTTCAGTACATCTAGTCTTTTAGCAGAGGCAACTAAGGTTATTGAAATGGTTTTGTAGTTGTGAATAAGAACATGACATAAGGAAAACTGCTCTGATGTTATTGCCCGCTGATCGCTCTCCTAGGCTCTTCTGTGACTTTGAAATGGGAAATCAGACACTAAAATAATAGTGCGTTTCAGGTAGTTTGGAACCTCCATTTGTAGTATTCTCTGAGATTGACATGCTGTACCACATTTCCCAACAGTTTTAGGCTGATAAAGATATCTTCTCTTTTTCCTTCTATTTACTGTCATCCTGGCAAAGGATAGGTGTTTGAAGCTGGCACCTGGTTGCAGTCACACCATCAAGTATCTGTAAAATTCATGGCCTTGTTCCTTCATCTAGATTCAATCAGGCAAACCCCATCTGCCAGCTAGGAGGTACAGATCCAAGTGACAGCAAGGTTAAGTTTGTGTTCGAAACGAAATCAGAAATTCTGATCCAGTGTAGGCAGCTCTTGTCCCAGTCATCCAAACTTACTCAGCACTAAACTATTTTCCTCCCATTAGTCTCACGGCAGCTGAAGGGTAATGCTGCACCTTCTTCCCCATTTCTGCTGCTCGATTTTACAGACAGTGATTTTTCTTTATCACTCCATCAGTTCCAAGTGTCTGGATGTTGATCTTAATCCCAGGCTGGGGCTTTGCTGCAAATCAGTTTGACAGTCAAGTGCAAAATAGATTTGCCTTGACGTAATTAAGGTGCCTAACTCCCTGAAATGATGGCTAAACTCAGCAATAACACTGTTAAATACAACATTTTAAACACTGTACAGATTGTATTGCACATTCATTTTTAAATTGTATTCTCTACTGAAATTGATGGGAATAGGGCTCTTAAGTACATTTAATGAGTCAGATCAATAGTTAGGAGCTTGTTTCTATTATTCTCATTTTCATGTAGAGGGGATTAAAGAGTAAGTA